AAACATAACGTACTCCCACTACTCCACAATACTCCCTACTCCACAACTATACTGCTACCCTACAAACCCCCTCCCCAACTACTGCACCCTACAAAACTCCTCCTAACTACTCAACTCTCCACAACTCCTCCTCCTCCTCCCTCTCTCCCCTCCTCCCTCTCCCCTTCCATCCTGCCTCCCTCCTCCCCTCCACCTCTCCCATTCTCCTCCTCCCACTCTACCCCTCCTCCCCTCCCCCTCCTCCCCTCCCTCCTCCCTTCCTCCCCCTCCTCCCCTTCCTCCCCTCCAAACAATACTACAACTGCTACACAAGTCTACCCATTACCACAAAATACTACAACCACTCTACCACAACAAGTACACAACCACTGCTACCACAACAATACTACAACACTCCCCTACCACAACAATATTTTAACCTGCACCACACGTCACAACACCATGGTCCAAACGAAACTAAAAGCTCCAGATCAACCACTGCACCAAAAAATCCAAAACATATCACACGTTCCTTTATCCCACTATTTTAATTTTCTTTCCCTTGCCCCCCTTTCCCACAGGCTGTCCCCGAAGGGTTGGAAAGCGGGACCACCGGCAGGGGGAACCACAAGGCAGTGGTCCGCGGACTTTTGGAACCAAACCACCGGTGACCCCCAAGCGGGGTGGACCACCGAGGCGGGGTGGACCACCGAGGCGGGGTGGACCACCGAGGCGGGGTGGACCACCGAGGCGGGGTGGACCACCGAGGCGGGGTGGACCACCGAGGCGGGGGCCCCACCGAGGCGGGGGGACCACCGAGGGGGGTGGCCACCAAGGGGGTTGGCCCCACCGAGGCGGGTGGACCACCGAGGCGGGGGGGCCCCAAAAAGGAAAAACGAAAGTTTCTCCTTTCAAATTTAGTAATTTATACAGGAGAAGGGGTTACCAGCCCCTTGCTCCTGGCATTTCAGTCGCCTCCACTTCCCCATGGTAATTCTACCCACATTAATACATGCTGAGCATTGATGCAGGTGTAGGGCTCTTGATCCAAAGAGACAGAACTAACCTCTCTTTCCTTGGTTTATGTTTTATTGTCTCTCATTTCCCAGGTTTGGGATATTGGCAGTTTGGAGGGATATGTTGTGTATCTTTATACGTATATGCTTCTAAACTGTTGTATTCTGAGCACCTCTGCAAAAACAGTGATAATGTGTGAGTGTGGTGAAAGTGTTGAATGATGATGAAAGTATTTTCTTTTTGGGGATTTTCTTTCTTTTTTTGGGTCACCCTGCCTGGTGGGAGACGGCCGACTTGTTGAAAAAAAAAAAAAAAAATTTCCCAGGTATTGTATGATCCCTCTGAATGTAATAGTAGTAATGCTGTGTTGTTCTCACCTCGAGAGGATTTTGGGGGTCAATGCCCTCTTGGTCTATGACCAGGTCTTGTGGTGGATCAGGACCTGATCATCCAGGCTGTTACTGCTGGCCGCACACAAGCCAACATACAAATCTTAGTCCAGCTGGTGAGGTACTGATTTTAGGTGCCTGTTCAGAGCCTTCTTGAAGACAGCCAGGGGCCTATTGGGAGGCAGTTGAACAGTCTTGGGCCCCTGACACTTATTGTATCCCCTATTCCTCAGGCTCTGTGATCCCAACAGGTTTAGTGCTTCCTCACAAATGTAATGGAAATGAAAGGTTTTTATGACTTGAAGTACAGTGGACCCCCGGTTAACGATATTTTTTCATTCCAGAAGTATGTTCAGGTGCCAGTACTGACCGAATTTGTTCCCATAAGGAATATTGTGAAGTACATTAGTCCATTTCAGACCCCCTTTAAAAACCCTACATATAAAACTTACATAATTGGTCGCATTGGGAGCTGATCGTTAAGCGGGGGTATTATTGATGTAAGAACAAGGTAACATTTATGATGGAATTCAGGGAAACTAAATAATAATGGTAATCTTTATTTCAGTATGATAGTGTTTGTACAGTGATGGCTGACATTTAGTGCATGCGGAAAGCCCCGTATTACACAGAGCATTTCAGGCAAACTTAAGCTAACTGGACTTAAGTCTGAAGGTGGGAAGTACAGTGTCTGCACTCTAAGGTGGGAAATACAGTGTCTGAAGGTGGAAATACAGTGTGAAGGTTGGAAAAATACAGTGTCAGCCACTGGTGGAAAAATACAGGTCTGCACTCTGAAGGGGTTTTCCCTCTGGAAAGTACAGGGTCTGCACTCTGAGGGTGGAAAGTACAGGGTCTGCACTCTGAGGGTGGAAAGTACAGGGTCTGCACTCTGAAGGATGGGTGAGGATGCTGCAATTTAGTGTCATCTGAACTTTGATGTCAGTACACTGTTCTCATTACAGCTATTGAATGAATGATGGAGAATGCTTCCTCTTCTGAGACAGCCCAACCTCAGGAGATGGCCATTGTGTTAAAAAAATAATCACATATCTCGCCTCCTTCAAATAATATACAGAAGTCAAAGCAAGAAATGTTATCTCTTGAAGGCTTCCTGTGTTGGTTAACCTTTTACACAACTATCATGTTGAGTGTGTAAAATCTCACAAACCCCCTGTTGGGTGAATAACAGGTCGGGGGCGGGGTGGTCAGCCTGCTTCCTACCAGCTTCATCTTTCTCTGAAGCAATAATAACAAGATACCATGTGGGGCACTTAATAATGCAAAAAAAACACTAGTTAAACATTTTTCTTGCTCCCCACTTCCAGTGATTGTCACTTTAATTATCGTGTATATAAATTTGCACAGTGTTGGTGCCCCGCTGGGGAGGCTAAAAGGCTTTTGTTCAGGAAAGTGAAGAACCCTTCGGGGGATAACCTCAATTGCCTCCCTATCCCCAGTGCGTGGGGCCCCTATGGATTTTACCCAAAATAAGAATCACTTGCGAGCTTTTTCATTAAGGTAAATATTTTAAAAAGGGAAATTTCGGGATATTTATATACTAATACTTAAGCTGCGGGGTCTCGGAAACCCCAGATGCCCCCAACCGTCCCAACCCCCCAAGTACCTGCTTACTGCAGGTGAAGAGTGACACAAGTGTAAGGAACAAACATCCAGGTACCCACTTTTGCAGGGAACAGGGAAACAGGTTGAAGGTAAATAACACCCGGTACCTACTTACCACTAGGTAATAGTGACGCGGGTTTTAAGGTACATAACACCCGGGTACCTATTAATGGTGAACAGGACGATGCCCTCAACCGAACACTAAACACATCTCATAAACAAACTAGGTAGATTCTCCCTTGTACTGAGTACCATTGCTACGGGAAAACTTGTGATTTTTTAAAGGCCAACATTGTATTACGACCCCGGGCTAAAAATTAACACTCCATGCGTTAATTACTCGTGGTTTAGCCTTAATTTAAAGATTGAATAATAATTGACTTATGTCGTGGGGAAAAAAACATTTAAACCACGCCCAGAAAATAATCCCAAACATTAGGAAAAGTTATGGTACTTATTTTAATGTGATTTTCCGGATTTTGTGTTTTATTACAAAAAATGGAGAAGCACGCAAAGCTCACTGGCCCCAAAAGGGTAGGAAACCTCTCAAACTCCCATTCCCACCCACTGTGGTACAGGGTAACGGGGGTGTTTGTGGTGGAAAAACCCCCCTGGCACAGTCCATCCACCCAAAGTGGTGGACAAAACCCGATAAACCCGGGTTTTACTGCTGGCCGCATTTTAAACCCAAACTCAAGAACCACAGCCCCGGGTCAGACTGCCCTTAGGTGCCTGTCCCGTGCCTTCTTGAAAAATAGCCAGGGGCTATTGTAACCCCTTAGATCTGGAAGGCAGTTGAATAGTCGGCCCGACATTTAAGTTTGCTCTTAGGTACGTGGACCCCTGCTTTCCTTTGGAAAAATGTTGAACCCTGCCAAGTCTTTTGCTTTTGGAAGTGATTTTCATTGCAATTTGGACTAGTTCCTCTGGGATTTTCCAAATATATTACATGTACTTCTCATCTGCATTCCAGGGATAAAAATCAAGGACTTCAACTTTTCTCATTTTTTTATTTTTTTAAATTTACTTATACTTTCCAAGTTTTTCTCTGTATATTCTAAAGGGCCTGCAATTTTGCCTGCTTGACAGGGCTGTTAGTGTACACAATATTCCACCTGAGAGAGCAATGATTTGAAAAAATCATCATGGGCTTGGTGTCCCATTTTTCAAGGTTCTCATTATCCATTTTTCATTTTCCACAAAGGGAATACAATTGTGATCTTTGAAAGTAGATTCTTTGGGCCTTTTGGCATTATTTTTTCCCATCCTTCACATTTTTTTTCGCTCTGTTGTGCATTGGAATTTGATTATACTCAGATCCAGTTTTATTTCCTCGAGTCTTCCATGGAGGGGATTGAAAACCTTGGTTTTGTCCCTGCTTTTTTTTGAAGACTTCCATGTCTTTTAATGGTCACCGACAAATTCTCTTTTCATCACAAAGGAGGGCACAGTGCCGTGGGTTCACCTGCTAAGTCAATAGGATAGGGAAAAGGGTTGGTTGGAGCGGTACTTTTCCTTTGGGAAAACCGGCATGGACTGAAACCCGTGAACACTGGCATGATAGTACCTTTGGACACTGGCAGGAGTACGTACCCTGTGGAACACTGCATGATACTTACCTTGTGGAACACTGGCAGCGAATTCGTACCTTGGGAACCGGCACGAGTACTGAAACCGTGGAACACGGCAACGGACTGTACCTTTGGAAACTGGCACCCAGTACCAACCTTGTGGGAAAAACTTTTCACTGACTTGGGTTTTTGTTTACTATTTACCCCCTTTCTTCTGTTAGGAAATTTAAAATCCTCTACCAACTTTTCGTGTTTTTCCCTTTACACGAATTTGTGGCTATTAAAACCCTGATCGCACTTGTTGAAGGCTTTCGCAAAAATCGTGTATCTACATCCATTTTATTGCTCCATTCAATCCAAAACCAAGCTAGTGGTCCCCCTTTGTTGTGAGAGGGAGGAGCGACCATCCAAGAGCATATCATGGTCCTGTAGCTGTGAGAGGCTGCCCTGGGTTGTACAGTTATTGGGTATCCAAGTGGTTGGCAATCTTGCCTCTTAGAACCCTTTCAAAGATTTTTATGATGTGGGACATTAGTGCTATCGGTCTGTAATTCTTTGCAATTGCTTTACTGCCACCTTTGTGGAGTGGGGCTATGTCTGTTGTTTTAGTGACTGTGGGATGACCCGTGTCCATGCTCTCTCTCCATAGAATATTTAAGGCACACGAAAGGAGTTTCTTTCAGTTCTTGATAAACACGGAGTTCCACGAGTCTGGGCCTGGGGCATAGTACATTGGGCATGTCATTTATTGCTTTTTCAAAATCCTGTGGGTTAGGATTATTTCACGAGATTCTTTAATTAACAAATTTTGAGTCATAAAAAAATCATTTAAGATTGTCGACCCCTAGTCTGATTAATGGCTCTCTGAGCACTGAGTCATATTAGGACTTCAGTATCTCACTCATTTCTTTGCTGTCGTCTGTGTAAGTTCCATCTCGTCTAAGCAGGCGTCCGATACTAGTTGTTGTTTTTGCCTTAGATTTGGCATTGGAGAATAAATATTTTGGTTTTTTTTGGGTTTTTTCCATTTCCATTTATGGCTTTAAGTTCTTCCTGTGTTTCTTGTTTCCTGTAAGGTTCCTCAAGCTTCAGTTTGATATTTTCTATTTCTCTAACCAGTGCCCGTCTCAGCAGCTCTGTGATTCTTCATCTTCACCTGTATAGGGAACATCACTCTCTCTCTAGTTTACATCTTCTCTTCCATTTTCTTACAGGAATGTGTCTTGAGCATACCTCAAGTGCCACAGAGTTAATTCTAGCAGAAGTTTGGATCCATGTTGTTTAGGATAATTTCCCAACTTGTTTCATTTAGACATGGTTAATTTGATCCCACTGTATGTTTGTTATTGAAGTTGAACTTGATGAAGGCTCCTTCATAACTGATCACCTTACGCTGGTCAGGAGCCCTGCACATACATGCATATACTTCTATTATGTTGTGATCTGAGTATACAGTGGACCCCCGGTTAACGAACTTTTTTCATTCCAGTAGTATGTTCAGGTGCCAGTACTGACCGAATTTTTTCCCATAAGGAATATTGTGAAGTAGATTAGTCCATTTCAGACCCCCAAACATACACGTACAAACGCACTTACATAAATACACTTACATAATTGGTCGCATTTGGAGGTGATCGTTATGCGGGGGTCCACTGTATTGTCTTTAATACTGTTACATTTCATACCAAGTCATCATTATTAGTGAAGATGGGATCATCTGTATTTTCCAGTCTTGTTGGCTCCATTATTTGCTCCACTGGTATGGTTGGTGACCTTACACACCTAATATATGAGAATTTAACTTTAATTGTGGAGGTCCTCAGCCTTCAGCTGCAAGCCCAGGATACTGCAAGCATTCCTTCTCTGGATCACCACGCTGAGGCTCTGGAAGAGAGAGATGGCTTCAGTGAACCTAGAAACTAAGTGTGTCCAATCTTATCAGGACAAAGTGGTACTGATAATCATAATCATGATGCAATGTTTGTACAAAGATGAGCGACATTCAGATGTGATTGCAGAAAGCCCCTTAGTATGCGAGCATTTAGGGTAAACTTAAGCCTATATCAGGACTTAAAAATAAGAACCAATAACTAATTGATTTTTTATATGTACAGTCTTTGAGGTGTCAAAAACAATAAATTTAGGAATTACAAGGAACACGAAGACCTTCCCTATGATCAGCAGCACCGTCCTGCTGACCAGCGCTAGATGTCAGCTAGGTAGATGTACTAGTACAGTGCCACACCAGCACTGTCCAGTATATATCAGGCCTATACTGGAGTATGTTGCCCACACCTGGTCAAGAATGTTAAGAAATTTGAGAAAGTGCAAAAGTTCACAACAAGACTAGTCCCAGAGCTGTGGGTTATGTCCTACGAGGAGAGGGAAATTGACCTGATGGCACTGGACGATGAGAGGGAAATTGACCTGATGGCACTGGACGATGAGAGGGAAATTGACCTGATGGCACTGGACGATGAGAGGGAAATTGACCTGATGGCACTGGACGATGAGAGGGAAATTGGCCTGATGGCACTGGACGATGAGAGGGAAATTGGCCTGATGGCACTGGACGATGAGAGGGAAATTGACCTGATGGCACTGGACGATGAGAGGAAATTGACCTGATGGCACTGGACGATGAGAGGGAAATTGACCTGATGGCACTGGACGATGAGAGGGAAATTGACCTGATGGCACCGGAGGATAGGGGAGACATGATAACAACATATAAAATACTGAGCGAAATTGACAAGGTGAATAGGGACAGGATGTTACAGAGATGAAGACTCATGATAGTCACAGGGATGTTAGGAACTATTTCTTCAGTCAAAGAGTTGTCAGGAAGTGGAGCAATCTGAAGAGTGATGTAGTGGAGGCAGGAACCATACATAGCTTTAAGAAGAGGTATGATAAAGCTTATGGAGCAGGCAGAGGACCTAGTAGCAATCAGTGAAGAGGCGGGGCCAGGAGCTGTGACTCGACCCCTGCAACCACACATAAGTGAGATGCCTGGGTGTTAGTTGACTGATGTGTGTTATAAGGCTAACTTAGGCTCTCCTAAATTCTCATACCCAGGGACTTTATATATAGTATGCAAATGATTTATATTGTAATTTACATCTAGGACCCCAATGGGAATAAGTCACTGACATTTTTTGGTTTATCCTGGGTAATTAACACATCTTACTATGCAAAGCAACCACAGGGGTAGTTGAATGATAGCTCTAGGCCTTTCACGTTACAATCTATATATCAGGAGCCTGCAATATTGCAGAAATGAGTAGGAAGTCCAGGCAGATCTATTCAGAGGAACTGACTCGATCGTGTTGATTGCAACACACAAGACCTAGAACTATCATTCAACTCCCCCATGGTTATTTTCCATCTTCCATCGCTCGTTTCACGATTATTACATATGTTACTATATACGACAATTGTACTTATATGTACCTGTGCCTAAATAAACCTACCCATCACATGAATTATGATATCCACCTCTCCATATATGTATATTCTCCTTTTATATGATATACAACCACTAGGTAGGTACATTGGTACCTTAAATACAATGGGGAACGCATGGTCGAAGTCCCGCAAGTCTAAAGTCAACGAGGTGACTTCTACCAAGCAAGAGGAGGAAGATCAAACTAAAGACAAGAGTAAGTGGATGGACTGCTGTTAATTTATATTAGTTTATCCTTAATTTATCACAGCCGTTTTCTGTAATTAGAAGTTGTGACCCCACGTTAATAAAATATTTATAATAATAATCTTTATTTCTACAAGTACATGTATAACTTAATGACCCTCGTGTAGTAGATAGACTTTAAACCCCATTAACCTTAATGACCCTCGTGTAGTAGATAGACTTTAAACCCCATTAACCTTAATGACCCTCGTGTAGTAGATAGACTTTAAACCTCATTAACCCAGGGAAAACTTGACAGAATACCTGGTATCCTCCAGGTACATCATCAGATGTAGCCCCACCAGTACCACCAAGTATTGATGATAAAAGGCTGGTACCCACTACCACCAGGCTGCCCATGGTCGTGGGTATGTACCCCTTCGTGGCCCGTGGTCCTTCAGAACTCAACTTCAATAAGGGTGATACTCTCGAAGTTCTACAGGATACGTAAGTCCTTACTGTTAGAATAATTATTATTATTATTTCTACCAGTAGATGGTACAACTTATACAGACCATAGCTCACAACAATGACATACTATATAGAAAGTTCCTGGTTATGTAGAGCATTTCCCACAATTTAGGTTAATTTTGTCCCCCAGGATGCCACCCACGCCAGTCCACTAACACCCAGGTACCTACTGACTGCTAGGTGAACACTGACAGCAGGTGTAACTAACACCCAGGTACCTACTTACTGCTAGGTGAACACTGACAGCAGGTGTAACTAACACCCAGGTACCTACTACTAGGTGAACACTGACAGCAGGTGTAACTAACACTCAGGTACCTACTTACTGCTAGGTGAACACTGACAGCAGGTGTAAGTATCATGTGGGGTTCGAACACGTGGATAGGGTAAAGAAATACGTAGGCTGGAAGTACGTATATTACGGATAGTGTGGGTAGCGCCAAACAGCCGTGACCTGCCTCCTTGCTCTCTCTCGTAAGACTGACTAACTCCAGTACCCATATGTGAGGGGGGTGTTTGAATACTGCTGTGGTCAGCAACAATATGAATACAGACAGTGATTCACGCAGAGACGGTTGGTAGTGAGTCATCTACTGGTACACTGGTTACTGGTAACTGGTTACTGGAACTGGTACTACTACTGAGAGCTCGGCGATGCTAACGTATGTCGTCCCGACATACAACTAATACAAACTAGAGATGGCAGGTATACGGCTTGGGCTGATTCTATACAATGTCAAAGTACACAACAATTGAACATTATAACATACATAAGTAGAACATTGGAATGGAAGCTTACGTAACTGAAACTGTAATGCAATACAAGGTATAATATAGCACAACTCATCGAATGAAACTCAACGTTGGGATTACACAATAGAAGTGATAAAAAAAAATTTGATCGATCGATCTGTATTCATGTGATCTACGGATTCTGAGGAAGGAATATATACAAAGAAAGAAGTGTTTAACAGAAAGGCAGATTCGGTGCACTCAAATCTAGACTGTTAACTCTCAGAATTCGGAGAGAACATGAACACAAAAAAAAAATTCTTGAATACTGATAAGTTGATACTGTAATTATTCATCTATACAGGTTATTTACATTTAACCCCAACTCTGCTAGGGTAAGATTGACATATGCAGAATGGGTGTCATCTCTGGGAGGATCAAACTCTGTTGCATTGGCTAACTCATGCTGTATTTGAGGCAAATCTGAATTGGAAGTTACAAATGATACTTGAGGATTTCTCAATACCTGTCGTGTACGTAGGGAATAACGACATTCAGGTTGATCGTCTGACTTGAGTATCAGAGGAAGAGAGTACAGGATCAGGAGGATTGTCAGAGTCTGTCACATTAGTCTGGGTTGGAACATCATTATCATCACATACTAACTTCATATGATCTAAATGCGATTCTTTATACTGACCAGTACTAATTTCTCTAACCTTATACAGTGGACCCCTGCATAACGATGGCATCGCATAGCGATTTTTCCGCATAACGATTACTTTTATCGCAAAATTTTTGCCCCGCATACCGATTAAAAACCCGCATACCGATTTTCGTCCGAGACGCGTCCAATGTGCCCTCAGCCAGCCTCACATGTGCCCTCCGCCCCTTGTTTACAGCCACCTCCGCGGAACACCAAGCATAATCGGAATATTTCGTTTATTACAGTATTTTCGGTGCTTTTTTGGAAAAAAGTGCCATGGGCCCCAAGAAAGCTTCAGTCCCAAACCCTACACCTAAAAGGGAAAAGTTTTACTTAGAGATGAAAAAAGAATAATTGATAAGTATAAAGTGGAGTGCGTATAGCCGACCTAGTAAACTGTACAAAAAAACCCCCCACCATCGTACTATTGTGGGCACCAGAAAGACAATCAAGGAAACTGTTCTTGCCAAAAAGGTTCAACGTGTTTCGAAAAAAAAGTCGCTTGATGGAAAAATGTTGAGAGACTCTTATTGGTGTGGTAAATGAAAAACAGATAGCGGAAAGCGTCTCTCAAGGATCATATGTGAAAGGTAGGAAGTTGCATCATTTAATTAAAAAAAAACCTGAAAAGTGATTGTGAGTGAAAATTTAAGGCCAGCAAAGGTTGGTTTTAGGATTTAAGAAGGAGGGATCCTAGTGTATAAGCGGGGGCTGCCAGTTCGGGGCCACAAAGGGCTGAAAAATTGTGCAGGAATTTAAAGGGTACATAGAAAATGAAGGATGAAAACCTGAAAAGTGTTTAATTGTGATGAAAAAAGGCCCCGTTCGGGAAAAAAGCCAAGCAGGACCTACATTACTCAGGAGGGAAAAAGGGACCCCCGGCAAAGCCTATAAAAAAGGCTTAAAATTTTTTGTGTGTGCCAATGCTATGGTGATTGCCCAAATGAAGCTTTTTAGTGTATCACTCTGAAACTCCCGAGCGTTCAGGCAAAAATGCCCAAAAAAAATTTTTGTGTGCTGGGAGGGCAAACGTAAGGCATGGGTCACTAGGGAATTTTTTTATAACTGGGTTTCACCTGCATTTGCCCCCCAAAGTGAAAATTTACCTAATGAAAAAAAATTAGAACTTAAAATGCCTCCTGGTGTTAGACAATATTGTGGTGGTGTCCCTTATAGAACCATTGTAAGCAGAATTTATTAGCACACTGCCACATCAGTATAACTCATCCCAAGTTTCATGTTGGGATTTGATTGTGGCTCTCAAGACATCAAGACTTTCTTATTGGTTCCGTTCCGTCAAACCCATTGCTGCAGGTGATGGGCAACATGTGTGGATTTAGTGATCTTGTACAAGGTACACAAAATTTCAAGAATCTCACATTACAGAATTCACCTCCATTATCTGCTATTACTAGGGACTAGGGTGGGTGGTATGCCTGCAGCGATAATGCTTTCTTTAACGCTTTAGCTACTGTCTCGGCAGTTCTTATCTGCATAGGAACTAACTCTAAATATCTGGTTGAAATGGTTCTACCTTAACACACAGATGTTTGTTGCTTGGAGGGAGGGAACATTGAATTAGTTAACAAATCTTGCGCAACTCTTTCCCAAGGTTCGCTAGTGTTGGGATATACTTGGATTTGGATTAGGACCATTAGCATTACCTTTATGTTGCATGCAGTCACTTTCATTTCTTAACATACTCAGAAATATCAGTTGCCATACGAGCCCCAAAAGTATTTCAATTCTGGCTGTTTTACTGAACGATCCAATACCGGGTGGGCAACACCTGGGTACAATCGTGAACTTGCTGTAAGGCTTCATTCACATAGACTGTGGAATTTTCTAACTGGTATTCTCTTCTGCTAGGAGTACCACAACTCGGCTGTTGATACAGTAATTCTTGGTTCATGAACAAAGTCACTGATGGGTGCTGGTGGCTTCCACAGTCAGAATAAATAAGATCTTCATGGAAGAAGAATCGAATTCACACCAGACCACATGGGATCTGTTCGTTGAGCATTCTTTACATCTTCAGCATAATTGGAGGGTCTGCAGTTACTCTTACTAACATGTCGCGATAGGCTATCTGCGACTACATTTGACTTGTCCAGGTAAGTGTTCAAAGGTGGGATTGAACTCTTGGATGTCAAGGTCCATCTGGCTAACCTTCCAGTCTTAGGTTGTGTTTTGTTCTGAATAAAGGGTATCAGTGGAGCATGGGTATGTCAAGACATGAACAGAGTAATGCATAAATAAGTCTCCGGAAGTGCTTTATAGACCATACTATTGCTAAAGCTTCTTGCTCAGTTTACTGCTATTATTACGTTCAGCCTTCTTAAGGACTCGGCTAGCAAATGCAACTGCGTTTGTACTGGCAATCGGCCTTCTGAGATCGTACGGCACCACTATGCCTAATGATTCTAAGCATTCCGTTGTCAGATAGAAAGGCTTAGAAAAATCTGGAAATTTCAAAATTGGAGCAGAAGTTAGCTTTTCTTTTAGAGTTTGGACATGCTCTTTCTTGATGGAAGGTCCAAACAAAAAGAGCATCTTTCGTAAGCAAACTCAGGTTAGAGGAGCAGCTATGGAAGAAAAATTGGCAATGAAAGATCTATCATAAAAACTGCTAACCCACAAAGGATCTTACGGCATCAGCAGTTTTGGGTGTTGGAAATTTAGTACTGCAGTTACTTTACTTTGGTCAGTCGTAACCCCTCTAGGAGTTACTACCGTGACCAAGAAACTTAATTTCTGATCTGAACAAATTGGTCTTTACGGGACTGTTTGATTTTAAATGGCTTCATTCAAGCTTACCAAGTACTACCTCAAGTCTTTTCAAGTGTGTATTCCTCGTCTTTAGACATGACGATTACGCCATCTAAGTACACCATAAGTGCATTACTATGGAACTACTAAAGAAAGATATTAGTCGTGGAGCTTGTGAAACGTGATAGGGGCGGATCGTCAATCCAAAACGGCCATCGGAGGAAGTGTTAATGACCTGTAGGAGTGGAGGAATGCAGTTAGTCTTGGCTGTCCCGTGAAGAGGGACGTGCCTAACCCTTGTAACAAATCCAGGGGTGAAAAGACTTTGTTATCTCGATGTTACGTAAAAGATCACCAGTTACAGTGAAAGTGGAAGCGATTGGATTTTTTTCGCCGCGTTTTACTTCCTAAAAGTCATTTACTGGGAGCCAAATACCATCCTTTCTTAGGTCTAGGATCTAAGGGCGCATTCCAAGGTGATATTGCTAGGCAAGTGTCAATTAACTACATCATCATGCATTTGATTTGATCAATTCTTCTGAGACAGAAATTGTGAATGAGGGCATTCTGTACGCAGGTATGTAGATAGGTTGTGTACCAGGTTCAAGTGGAATACGATGGGACATAAGTTGTTTTTTTACCCATCTTCTCCACCTGGGTCAAGGCCAGTGGCTTTAGACGTTTGTTCAAGAGTCAAAAACGCCTGACTTCATCTGGGAATAGTCAGTGGGAGCTAAGTCTTTCTCCTCAACTGGTGGAACAGATGATC